TGTCTTTATAAACTATGTTATGCCAATTGAGCTAGATGTTCCCTGAGACCGTGGTCCCCACGGCCCTCCGCCCAGCAATTCAGTCCCTCAAGGAGTTTGGATGTGTCTATGGAGCTTCCATGACCTTTCATAAAGTGAACATCTTGATGAATTTTCACAAAGTGAACTAGCTCATGTAACCAGTTCCCAGATCAAGAATCAGAATATTATCAACACCCAGAAAACCTGTTCTATTCCCTTTCCCCCACAAAGGGTAACCATTAACCCAACCTCTACTGCTAAAGAATCTCTTTTCTGATAACAACTTTATTGAGATATAGTTCACATACCGTGAAATGCACTCTTTTAAAAGTATACAATTAGTGATTTTTAATATATTCAGTTACCAACCAACCAGTTGCTGTCAAGTTGACTCTGACTTGTGGCGACCCCATGTGTGTCAGAGTGCAACTGTGCTCCATAGGGTTTTCAATGGCTGATTTTTTTTTTTTTTTTGGCAATTGCCAGGCCTTTTTTCTGATGCACCTCTGGGTGACCACGAACGTTGAACCTCTCGGTCAGCAGCCTAACACGTTAACCATTTGCACCACCCAGGGACTCCTATCAACCATTACTACTACCACTGTCTAGTTTCAGAACATTTTAATCACCCCAAAAAGAAGCCCTGAAGCCATGAGCAGTCGCACCTTACTTTCCCCAAACCACTCCCTCCCCAGCCCTAGGCAAGCAGTAGTTTACTTTCTGCCTCTGTGGATTTGCCTACTATGGACATTTCATATAAATGGAATCATACAATATGTGGTCTCTTGTGACTGGCTTCTTTCACTTAGCATAATGTTTTCAAGGTTCATCCAGGTTGTAGCATGTATCAGTACTTCATTCCTTTTATGGTGCAATAATATTTCATTGTATGGATATATACCACAGCTACATTTTGTTATCCACTCATCAGTTGATGAACTTTTGGGTTGTTTCTACTTTTTGACTATTATGAATAATGCTGCTATAAACATTTATGTACAGGGTTTGTGTGAACATAGGTTCTCAATTCTATTGGGCATGTATCTAGGAATGAAACTGATGGGTAACTACTATGTGTTTAGCATTTTGAGAAACTGTCAGATGTTTTCCAAAGTAGCTTCACCATTTTACATTCCCATCAGTAACATATGGGGGTTCCAATTTCTCCACATCCACTAATGATTTTGAGCACCTTTTCATGTGCTTATTGGTCATTTGTATATGTTCTTTGGTAGCCACAGCAATAAACTCCAACATACCAATATCATGAAGGTGGCACAGGACTGGGCAGCATGACATTTTGCTATATATAAGGTCGCCATGAGCTGGAGCTGACTCGATGGCAACTAACGAAAACATATCTTCTTTGGAGAAATGTCTCTTCAGATTCTTTGCCCATTTTTAAATTGGGTTATTTGTATTTTTATTATTGAGTTTTATGAGTTTTCTATATATTCTGGATTCAGGTCCCTTATCAGACACATAATTTGCAAATATTTTCTCCCATTCTGTGGGTTGCCTTTCTTTACTGATTTTTTTTTTTCCAGCCATTGAGAGAGATGTGTTAAAATCTCTCAATAGTGGAATTGCTTATTTTTCATTTTAGTTCTGTCAGTTATTTTCTTTATAGGTTTTGATGCTAATTTATTGGATGCATATATATTTACAGATGTTATAACATCCTAGTGATTGATCCCTTTATCATTATGAAATGTCCCTCTTTGTCTCTAGTAATGCTTCTTGCCTTCAAGTTTCTTTGACTAATGTTTATCTAGCCACACCAGCTTTCTTTTGGTTAGTGTTTGTATAGTTTATCTTTTTCCATCCTTCCTTTTATTTTCAAACTCTTTGAGTCCTTATGTTTAAGGTGTGCTTTTTGTAAGCAGTGTATGATAGGGTTGTGGGTTTTTTTGTTTTGTTTTGTTTTAGGCAGCCTGACAATCTTAGTATGTTACTTGTATTTATTTGATTGTTACTTAATGACATTTCTGATATAATAATAGCTTTAATGTAGTTTACTGTTTGTTTTTTCCATTTGATCCTGTTACATTGTTTTCCTCTGCTGTCTTGTTTTCTTTTAGATTAATAAAGTATTTTTTTTATTCCATATTTTATCTCTTTTGGCTTGTTACTTATACATTTATTTATTCTTTTTGTTTACTCTTCTTTTACAGTTTTATTTAGAGACTACAGCATGCATACTCTTTGGTCAGTTAAGCTCCACATGACCACCAAAAACTTTGCTGGTCAACCTAGTCATCTACCAGAATCAAGCCAAGCTTCTCAGCCTTTTGCCTGGACCCAGTATTGGCAGATCCCCTAGGGAAAAAGTGGCTGTGTGTCCTTAGCTCACCTGTCCCAGTCTTTTCGTTTCTCTGGAATTATAGGTCCTCTAATCTTTGTATTACTGTAACTCTGTGATACCTTTAAATAGATGGTTTTTGTATTTTCCCTAACTTTCATAATTGTTCCCGGTGGGGTTTTTAGTTTGCTACAAACTGTTCTGTCATATCTAGAAATGGAAGTCAGTGTGATTTTCTTATTAATGGATGACAAGATATTATTTATGTAGTAATGTTGATTTGGATTTCCTGGGTAGTGCAAAATGGTTAACATGCTTAGCTGCAAACCAAAAGATTAACATTCAAGAAGTGCCTTGAAAGAAAGGCCTGGCAGTCTACTTCTGAAAAATCAGCCATTGAAAACCCTATGGAGCACAATTCTACTCTGACACACATGGGGTCACCATGAGTTGGAATCAGCTTGATGGCAGGTGGTAACTGGTAATATTAATTTACCATTATCTTCCTAAGAATTTAACAACTTAACTTCAGTGTTGACTGGATTTTCACATAGCAAAGTAGGTACTTTTTGAAAGGGTTGGTCTTGTAATTTTAATATTCATACACTGATTGAATACTTTCTTTAAATATCCACATGGCCAGATTAGAAGTTTAAAATTTAATTTGCTTGAATTATATTAATTGAGGAAACCCTGGTGGCATAGTGGTTAAGAGCTACAGCTGCTGACCAAAAGGTCAGCAGTTCGAATCCACCAGGCACTCCTTGGAAACCCTATGGGGGCAGTTCTACTCTGTCCTATAGGATTGCTATGAGTCGGAATCTACTTGACGGCATTGGGTTTGGGTTTTTTTTTTAATTATATTAATTGAGCTTTAGTTGTCTATACATTATCTTTGTATAATCTTTTTAATTTCATTATTTTCAATCCAGATCAAATTTCTTTTTTAGATTCACTGGAATTAGTGAGATAGGCACGCATGACTCAGTATTTGGCCCTTCTGGCACTTCCTATAAAACCAGCAGCAACAACAAAAAGCAGGAACTTCTGTCCAACTTTCTGATTTGTTTAGGTTGATCAGAGTCAGTCAGAGTTTCCCTTGTGCTGAAGTTAACAAGTGTAAATGTTTCATTTTACATAAAAAAACCAAACCAAACCTGTTGCCATCCTGTCTATTCCAACTCATAGTAACCCTATAGGGAAGAGTAAATTGTCCCATTTCCAAAGAGCAGCAGCTGGTGGATTCAAACCACCAACCTTTTGGTTAGCAGCCAAGCTCTTAACCACTATGCCACCAGGGCTCATTTTACATAGTGCCCACTTAATATGTGTATAGAATTCCTTCGGTCACTTAAAAGAGGCATTCAAAATTTTACATGTTAATTAGCTTCTGCCTATTCCCCAGAGGGACCAGAGGACTTGTGATTGGCTGGGAAGTCAAGTGCCCAGAAACCAGAGTTGTTATAAAATGTTAGAAAGCTGAAATTAGAATGCCACAACTGAGGATTTGGCCAATCCCTGAGGAATCAGTGGCACCAGATGAAGAACTTTCTTCTGGGAGTGAACTAAGTTGTAGTCTCCAAAGGAAAATAATAATTCCCAGATGTAAACAGACTCATTATTTAAAAAGTGGGTATTCTAATGGCTCAGACTAAAGAAAGTTTTAAATACCACTAAAGAGCCTTAGAATTAAAAGTTTATAAACATAACTTAAAGATGTTCCTTTCTTAATCAATTATGTGGTATTGTTTGGGGACTCTAAGAAGTTTTCTACTCTAAAAATAGATTTCTATTTCAGTCTGTGGTACTGACCTCTCCTGCATTTGTGGGAAGCACCAAGAGCCCACAATTAAGAACGGGCATTTCAGGGAGAGGAGTCATGTGAAATAAGCAATTTAACCATCATGATTATGCAGAAAATTAGTTATATAATTAAAAATGTTTTGAAGAAAACTGTAAAATTCAAGTGAGGTCTGTAGTCTAGTTAATTGTATTGTTCTAATTAATTTCCTGCTTCTAATAAAGCAGTATAGTTACATAAGATGTCACCCACCATTGAGGGGAGCTGGGTAATGGGTACATGAGACCTCAGTGTACTATTTTTGCAACTTGTGGGCCTATAATTTTTCAAAATAAAAAAAGTTTTACAAATGACTTCAAGATATAAGGTTTTGTATTGAAGAAATAAGTGGGATATAATGAGTAACATATGATAGTCTTTCTTGTTAGGTATGGAAAGAGATGAAGGGATGGTACCTTTAGATTCTAAAGAGGAGCCATAAAATATAAGTAGTCTTTCTTTTTGGCTTAAAAATGATTGATACTACCTCATTTGTACAAATCATATAGTTCTCTGTAAGTTATATTCTGGTTTTTTTATTTTGTTTTGTTTTTTCACAAATACTACTTTCATTTATATCCTCCTAATATTCATTTAGGAGCCCTGATGGCACAGTGGTTAAGAGCTACGGTGAGCTGTGGCTGCTAACCAAAATATTCTTTTAAGGAGCCCTAGCGGCACAATGGTTAAGTTCTTGACTATTAGCTGAAAGGTCGGCAGTTTGAACCTACCAGCAGCTACATAGGAGAAAAGACCTGGCAATCTGCTTCCATAAAGATTACAGCCTTGGAAACCCTATGAGGCAGTTCTACTCTGTCCTATAGGGTCGCTGTGAGTCAGAATCAACTTGACAGCACACAACAACAACATTCTTTGATAAGTTTATTTAAGTAATTTTAGCCAAGCTAATAGACTAGAATTATCCAGTGCTATGATAAAAGATGCTAATGTAAGTTCACAGGACTAATAAATGGCTTTCCTAAGCCAGTATAGCAATCTTTTGGCCATGATCATTTCTCTCTCTCTCTCTTTTTTTTTTTACACTGCTTCTTTCCTTCAAGTTCCCTCTGCCCAAATTTGCAGTATATAATTTTTTGTGCTATGTAGTTTTTTTTTTTAAATACCTTAGAAATATCAGTTTCTTTTCCTGTCAGTAGTCCCCTTGCTTATGAGCATTAGCTTATTTTTGTCGTGGTCCCGTACCCCCAAATATTTCCTGTCAGTTTATCATTAATGTTTAAATAAATGTTTACCTATGCTTAATATGGAAACCTTAGTGGCGTTGTGGTTAGGAGCTATGACTGCTAACCAAAAGGTCAGCAGTTCGAATCCACCATGCGCTCCTTGGAAACTCTATGGGGTAGTTCTACTCTGTCCTGTAGGGTCTCTATGAGTCAGAATCCACTCAACAGCAACCGTTTTTTTGTTTGTTTGTTTTTGCTTAATATAATTTTACTTTGAATTACTTTGTCTGAGAGAGTTAAGTGCGTTCTTAGAATCCATCCTGTGAAATTATTCTCATTGAGGTACTGACTAGCCTGACACTTCAAATGTAATCAGAATAGTGAAATGGAATACCTTCAATGCCAGGTTAACAAGGGAGAAAATAAACTCAAGTGTTGGTCATGTACAAACAGTCTTAAAGTAATATTCCCTTTGCTTTTGTAATTGTCAAAGGAGTTTAATTTATTTGTGTTTTCTTTATATTCCTTTACTAGTTTCGATAATGGATAAGGTGATGACAGTTTTCAACAGTGCACAGAGACTGGAAGTTGTTAGAAACTGCATCTCATTTATATTTGAAAATAAAACTTTGGAGACTGAAAAGGTAATAAAATGCATTTATCATTTCCCTTTCAGATTTACATGTTAGGTTGCCAACTGAGCTCTCCTTAAATTCTATCCCTTTTCCTTATAAAATGGCCTTTCATTATTTCAATCATTTTAAATAAATAGTGTCAGAGATTTAAAACTGTAAGCCAGGCTTAATTAGATAGCTGCCAGAGAAATATCAATAGTAATTTTTTTTCATTTTCCTCAGACTTTCAAGCATTAGTCATTGAACCCTATTTTGGTATATTACTAAGAAACTTCATATTTTAAATATAATTTAATTTGTTACAAAGAATCTAGTCAGAATATATAATGAATTGTAGAAACTATAGTATTCAATTTAAATGTGCCTCCTTAAAGCACATTTTTTTTGCCTCCTTCAATACAACATGCTGAACATAATATAAATGTTTCTTGGTAACGCCTTGTTGTAGATCTGAAAATCTATTACAAGGGGCTGGTAAAACATGTACAAGTTTTTACACTTACAACTAAATGACCCCAAGCCTCTTTATGTTTTGAGGGTTTGTTTGTTTGGTTGGTTGGTTTGGTTTCCATTTTTTCTTATGGTTGAAGTGATAGATTTTTTTTTTCTTTCTTTGCTTTCAGCTTTCACATTCTGTTTCTTGTGCCTGCCTATAACAAACACTATTATGGTCTCCCACTCTCAGTTTTCTTCCCTCCTTCTCATTTGCTCTTTCATTCTGCTTTTTTAGTTTTTTCAAGTTAAATAAACTTATTAAAAATCTGATAACATCAACTGTTGCCAAAAGTTTTAACAAATGGAATACATAAACAGTGCTGATAAGAGTGTAAATTAAATAGGCCATAAATGGTGAACTAAAGGAGGTATTCATGTGGGTGTTCTCATGATAAAGTAAAAGAGTTTAATACATAAACCTAGAGATCTTTATTTTTATTGCTGTAGTCCTTTTTATTTCTTTATTATAATATTGAAATGAGGAGAAGAGATTGTAGAACTTTTCAGTTATAAATTAAAACTGAGTAGTCATTAAGTAGCTGACCAGTTTTAAAGTATATAATCTGTGTTTCTTGGCATTTTTAATTTTCCTTCTATTCTTGCCATGAGGAAGTGACCAGTTATATAAAGAAGATATCTCTAGGTGTCTGGTTTTGACTCATACTATGAAGCAGCAGTCAGTTTGTTAAAGTTTTGATGAGTTTTAAAAAAAGTAAATTTAGTGCTTTTTCAATTTACCACGTAACTAATTCTATTTATTTTTCATGCTGGCTGACAAAAATAACTGCAAATCTATCTATTTTATAATTGTTCTTAATATCAAATCAACTCTTCTTTAGTAGTTTATTTCTACTAATAATGTTGTTAAATGGCTTGTAGGGTGCACTTGAATTTTCAACATGATTGTTTATAAGTTATTTTCTTCCAGTGAACCTTTTAGTCACTTGTACCTCTCTTGTCCTCAGACCCTTCCTGCTGCCCTAAGAGCCCTGAAAGGAAAGGCAGCAAGACAGTGTCTTACTGATGAATTGGGTTTACATGTCCAGCAAAACCGGGCAATATTAGACCATCAACAGTTTGACTACATAATAAGGATGATGAACTGTACTCTACAGGTAATTTTTAGTTCTTTCAGATTATTGCTTTTATTTGAGAGTACTTCCCCCAGGAGATTCAATAATTACATATCTATGATGTTCTTGAGCCTTCCACAGCTAATAGGATGAAGAGCCGATAGCTATACCATTTCTGTCATTACTTGGCATAAATATTAAGAGGTTTTCATTCACTCTTTGTTTTCTCTTGAAAAATACTTGATTATTTTTACTACTTCTATATGTAAACTCTGTGAAAATGAAAAATCATCTTTAAAATATTCACTTATATGTAAGTGAATGTAAGGCATTTTCTTAATGTCTGTGTTCACGTCAGCCCTTTTCAGTCAGTTTTCAGTTGTACTGTTAAAGAAATGGGCAATGAATGGTGGACAATCTAAATGATAAATGAGTTACTGAATTATTTACTAAGTACTTTGTATCTGTAAAATACAAAAAGTTATTTCCAGTTGACTTCAGAATATGTTTAGGATCTTACAGAAATAAACTTCTCACAAAATAATGAAGACTCAATTTAGGAGAAGCAAATAATCTGGTTTTCCCATCCTGTCGCTTTGTTAGATATTGTATGACACTGGAATCATATTCTCTACAGATAATCCAGAAATCCTTCTCAAACCTATTGCACAAGGAGAAAATGTAATTAAATATTAAGATTTCCAAAGCCATCTATGTAACTCCAGAGAAAGTAAACAAAATGCATGTTACGTACTGGTAAATTAGAAAGCAAAATTTACAATAATAAATAATAATTAATATATAGTAAGTAATAAGTAATAAAATTTGGAAGAGAAAAGCCCAAGAATTACCAACATACTCCTAAAAAAAAAGCATGGAAATTTGCCCTTTTTTAGATATCAAAATTAATTGAAGATTATAGTAATTAAGACAGGGTGGTATTTGTACATTCATAAACAAGTTGACCAATAGAATAGAGAGCCCAGAAACAGACTCACACATATAGGAAAACATGATTTATGAGAGTTGACATTTCACATCAGTGGCGAAAAGATGGGTGATTCAGAAAGTGGTACTGAGGCAGTTGGGTGACCATGTACAAACTTGTACACAAAAGATGTGCACATACCTCACATCATACACCAAAAATCAATTCCACATGGACTAAAGACTTAAATATGAAAAGCCAAATTATAAAACTTTTAGAGCACAATACAAGCAATATCTTATGACTTTAGGGTAGGAAAAGATTTGTTAAGTCATAAATAATGCCAACTATAAAAGAAAAGATTGACATGTTTGCTTACATGAAAATTGAGAACTTGTATTCATCAAAGATAACCTAAAGAGGGTGAAAATGCAAACCGCAGAGTGACAGATGCTTGCAAAGCATGTAACTACCAACAAATTAGTACTGAGAGCATAAAGAACTACAAATGAATAAGAAAAGACAAACAACACAATTTTAAAATGGTAAAACACTTAAGTATCTCAGAGAAAAGGAAACCCACTTGGACAATAAATGTATAAAGAGATGATGTAAAAAATAAAGATGAAATGTATCAATAATTAGAAAAATACAAATTAAAACCACAATGGGATAGCATTTTGCATCCACTGTTTGGCAAGGATTTAAAAATCTGATAACATCAACTGTTGCCAAAAGTTTTAACAAATGGAATACATAAACAGTGCTGATAAGAGTGTAAATTGTACAACCACTTTGCAAAAGATTTTGCCATTAGCTTATAAAGCTGAATATGAACATAATCTATGACTCAGTGATTCCAGTCCTAGAGGAGCTCCCACATACACCAGGAAACATGCACAAAAATGTTCATAGCAGCACTGTCAGAAATAGCAGACAACTGAAAACAACTCATATGCTTACCAGCAATGATGTTGTTAGGTGCCATCGAGTCGGTTCTGACTCATAGCAACACTGTGTACAGCAGAACAAAATACTGCCCAGTCCTGTACCATCCTTGCAGTCCTTGCTGCTTGAGGCCACTGTTGCAGCCACTGTGTTACTCCATCTCACTGAGGGTCTTCCTCTTTTTTGCTGACTGTCTACTTTACCAAGCATGATGTCCTTCTCCAGGGACTGGTCTCCCCTGATAGCATGTCCAAAGTACATGAGACAAAGTCTCTCCATCCTCGCTTCTAACGAGCATTCTGGCTGTACTTCTTCCAAGACAGATTTGTTTGTTCTTCTGGCAGTCCATGGTATATTGAACATTCTTTGCCAACACCATAATTCAGGATACAGATTGAATAAGTATGGTGAAAGGATACAACCCGGACGCGCACCTTTCCTAATTTTAAACTATACAGTATCCCCTTGTCTGTCTCTTGGTCTATTGCATGAACACAATTAAGTGTTCTGGAATTCCCATTCTTTGCAACATCATCCATAACTTCTTATGATCCACACAGTTGAATGCCTTTGTATAGTCAATAAAACACTGGTAAATATCTTTCTGGTATTCTCTGCTTTCAGCCAAGATCCATCTGACATCAGCAATGTTATCACTGGTTCCACATCCTCTTCTGAATCCGGCTTGAATTTCTGGCAGTTCCCTGTTGATGTACTGCTGCAACCGTTTTTTAATTATTTTCAGCAAAATTTTTACTTGCATGACATATTAATGATATTGTTTGCTAGTTTCCGCATTCTGTCGGATCACTTTTCTTTGGAATGGGCATAAATATGGATCTCTTCCAGTTGGTTGGCCAGGCAGCTGTCTTCCAAATTTCTTGGCATAGACGAGTGAGCGCTTCTAGCATTGCATCTGTTTGTTGAAACATCTCAGTTGATATTCCATCAATTCCTGGAGCTTTGTTTTTCGCCAACGCCTTCAGTGCCACTTGGACTTCTTCCCTCAGTACCATGGGTTCTTGATCATATGCTACCTCTTGAAATGGTTGAACATCGACCAGTTCTTTTTGTTATAGTGACTGTGGATTCCTTCCATCTTCTTTTGATGCTTCCTGCATCATTCAATATTTTGCCCATAGAATCCTTCAGTATTGCAAATCGAGGCTTTAATTTTTTCTTTAGTTCCTTCAGCTTGAGAAATGCCAAGAGTGTTCTTCCCTTTTGGTTTTCTAACTCCATTTCATTATAATACTTTACTTTGTCTTCTCGAGCCACCCTTTGAAATCTTCTGTTCAGCTCTTTTACTTCATCATTTCTTCCATTCGCTTTAGCTACTCAGCAGTCAGCAAATGAAGATCCCAAAAGCTTTACTCCATCCATGTCATTAAGGTCTGCTCTACTTTGAGGAGGCAGCTGTTCCCTGGTTGTATTTTGAGTGCCTTCCAGCCTGAGGGGCTCATCTTCTGGCACTATACAAGACAATGTTCCACTACTATTCATAAGGTTTTACTGGCCAATTTTTTTTCTTTTTTTTTTTTTAGAAGTAGATCGCTAGGTCCTTCTTCCTAGTCTGTCTTAGTCTGGAAGCTGTGTTGAAACCTGTCCACTCTGGGTGACCCTACTGGTATTTGAAATACCAGTGGCATAGCTTTCAGCATCACAGCAACACGTAAGCCACCATAGTACAACAAATTGACAGACAAATGGTGGAATCAGCAATAGAATAGATAAATAAATTATGGTATCTTCTTACAACACAATATTATTAGCAGAGAAAATGAATGAACCACAGCCATGCCACAAAATAAAGGGAAGGGCAATTGAATTATAGTATACACCTACTCACTTATGGACTGTCTTGTTATCTGACATTTCGAATTTACAATAGAAAAATATCTACTATCCAACTATGTTGTGCATTAAGGAGGAGCCAAGGGAAGAGAGGGGAGGAGGAGGCGAGATTCGTGAGAGGGAGCAATGCTGCGTGGGCTGCCTCTGGTTAGTTTTACCCCATTGGGTGGAGAAACCAGCCCAGGCTTGTAGCAAGGTGGGACTGTCTGGCAGCAACCTAGAGGCGAGGACGTTGGGGCCGCAAGAAGGCGGCTGGAGCCAGGGCTGCAGGAGGTGGGCAGGAGGTGCTTGTAAGTCTCTTCTTCCAAGAGCCCTCTCTGCAGCCTCCTCTGGGCCCAGATGGCGGGGCCTCACCTGCCTGTAGGCCCGGGAGCCACCCAATGCTGAGGCCCATCTCTGGGGCTGGCAGAGTGGGAAGGTGGATAGGTGAGGCGAGGTAGTCTGCGTGGAGGCCTGAAGCGCCACCAGGTGATGGTGGGCCCCTGCTGCTCTAGAGGCAGCAGGCATTCCCCCGACCACCACCACCACCGCAACTCCCCCTCTGTACTCCACGGTGGTGGGGAAGGGGGACCCACCACACCACGCACATCCAGAGATGCACTGGGGGCACCCGACTGGCAGTGAGTGACTCGGAAGGACACTGGTGCCGAAGACCGGGCACAGCCCCCAGTCTTGTATAACGCTGATTTTCGATTTCCATTTAATGACCTGATGTTTTGGAACCTAACCATGTTGATAAGTGAGGACTGGGTATACTGGGTATATATAAAATTCAAAAGCCTGTAAAACTAAGAAATATGTTATTTAAGAATACAAATATACGTTATAAAAGTATAAGAAAAGCAAGGGAATAATAAAATTTTAAAGTTAGGAAAATAATTATCTCTGGGGACAGAGAGGAATAGTGGTGAACATGGGAGTCTTCAAAGGTAATGGTAATATTCTGTTTCTTAAATTGGGCATATGAGTGTTTGTTGTACCATTATTCTTTATAACTTCATAACCAGTAACCAGTTGCCATCTACTTAACGGCATCCAACTCATAGTGACCTAATTAATTTGTATCAGGGTAGAACTGTCCTCCACAGGGTTTTCAGTGGCTGATTTTTCAAAAGTAGACTACCTGTTCCAAGGTGGCTCAGGATGTTCTCAAACCTCCAACCTTTTGATTAGCAGTGAGCACATTAACTGTTTGCATCACCTAGGGACTCCTTTATAACTTACACATCTTTTATGTCTTAGGGTACTGCATTTAGATTTTTTTTACAAGGCACATTTATCTTTTCGAAACCAACTTCAGAGTATATTTCTC